GCCCACTAAATTCACTTATGAAAATTCAAATATCCATCCTTAAGTCACATCCTAAGCGACCTGAGCCTATTCGCTTTCTTGGTTAAGAGTTAATGTGGTAAGGTAGGTGGCACTACTTATATTAGGTATGAGTAGAGTTAGATATTTTTAATCCCTCTCGAGCAAAAACTTTATTCACTCGGTCACTTAAGCAAATTTTGGGACTAAAAATTGATTTTACCATGATTAAATGAGGTTATACACAACATTGTATACAATCTTTTGTTAGAGTCAGGCTACGCCTTCGTTTGGCGCCCGACAAGTAGAATGCCAATCCGCTTCGACGTTATCCAACAGGTTTGGCCCGGATACATTTAAGGGACAGAGCACACTTCGACAAATTCAAGTCAAGTCAAGGTAGAATAGAGCAGGATGCTAACAAGCAGCCTCCTCCTTTCGACCCATTAATCAGGCACTTTCTAAAAAAATGGTGTCTATAATTTGCTTAAAAATGTGTCCTTCTGTCTCTAACGTCTGTTCGTATATGAAACACTTGCTGTACTTTCGGGCACGAACTTTTTCCTACTTTGGGACGAAAAAATTAGATTTCTCCATGACATAAACCAAATTATCCAAACTGACTTGAGCGCAAACAGCCTTTATTATTGGCTCGCCCTTGGAGTCTACCGGAAATCATGCTATCTGCCTAAACAGACCGAATCTAGACAGCCAAGCCAATCTTCCCTGCATTTCGTAAGTCTTTAAACGAAATGAAAGCTACCCAAACATCTTTCTATGATTTGGTTTGTTTGATTTACACTTATTCTACATGCTTTCATATGAGAGAAGTGGACGAATATGGTGGCAGCTCTTTCCTTACTTAAGTAAACCGGCGTGTGATCTAATGTTAGCGCATGTTTAGGTTTTTGGTATGTCGTAGTAAATGTAGAAAAAATTCAAGTTGTGTAAGTTGCCATATCGCCAACCAGACGCGAGGCTGTCCAGAACTCCTTTTGACTAATGTTTCTTTCTTTCCAGTTCTTCTTGAAGTATGTTTTCTCTCCTAACATCTTTTCCTTCAAATTGACATGTCGAGTCGCATGAAGGATGTGGTGATCGGAGAGAGCTACCTTCCGAAATTTTGCATCTGAAATGAGCCAAATTTTTTATTCTGACCGACCAAGTTCCTTCAAATCGCTCTCGATATTCCTCCTTGAGGGCGATCAAGTTGCCCTACGGGAGACCTCGGATGTAGCATCCGCTTCAATGAAACCTCTCAAAGAGATTCAGATTCGGGCTCCATAAAAGCTTCGAAGCCAGTTAGAGGCTCATCTGCCTCCGCAAACTATCAGGCTCTGCTGTCAAAAAAGACGGTCTACTCAAACCATAGGTTGTTCAAATCGACTCGCCGCCCTCCAGACCCATGTTTGCCGACTCACTTCATACCAAATTCAAAGCAAATCGTTGCAGACGTACAGGTATTTGGTACCGTCCATAACCCAATATGATCCTCCTACTCGCGTTCGCCAACATATGCCGGCGTTTTCATGTCCAATCTTTTCTCGTCGTCATCGGAGGTCACTAACTGAGGCTGTAGTCTCGGCTGACTTAGTTCTATTTGGGCTTGATCAAAATATTTCCAGGATTCACTTTGCTATCCACTTTGCCACTTTCTCAAATGCACCTACAATGGTCGTATAGACCAGGAATCAGAGTACAGCCGAATTCATAAGCCAACTTACAAGGCTTTGGACTCACTCGATGGTCTCAAAGCTTACAAGAGGAGCTTCAACTATGAGCTCGAGGTGTCTGTGGACAGATTTGTAGAGATCTCACCATCCTCACTTAATAAGTGATCTCTGCTCAGCTTCTGTCATGTCATCAAGTCCTCTCTGAAAGAATCCTCTGATATTGTTAAGTCAAAGTATGCGAAAACTAATAGTTATCTCATATGACTTATTTCAACTTCTTGATCGCACTACTTACGAAATCCGATCCTGCCGAAAGGCAATAATATGAAATAGAAGAAAAGTCATACTTATGCGTCATTGCTAAACGCTGAAAGTGCGTCAGTATTGTGCCAAGACAGGAATTCTAGACTTACTGGTGATGGTGAGACGAAGGGTGGTTGCATAATCGTTCTTCTTGTCCTGCTCTATGCTCAACCGATAGCGCGACTCGGTTCCATTCACCTCATGGCGCTGGGGATCGGCGAGGTTCGGCCTCACCTCATAGATGCCCTGCAGGGAGAGGTGGATCTCACTGGACCGCAAGTCCGTCACAGATTGGGCAGGCACTAACATGGCGGGATGTGGTCGTTGCATTATCAACTCACGATTGGCCCTCTCTCTGTCCTCGTCTAAAAGCGACAGGATTTCCGGACGTCCCAAATTGTAGTCCGAGATGTTGAGTGAGTCTGAGGAGGCAGTTAAAGGGCAAAATAAATGATACTGAAGATTCAAGATGTACCTTGATGAAAAATTCATGGTGTTGCGTTTTACTGTGTCTGTCCGTATGTCTATATGTCTGTATGTATGCATGTATGTATGTATTTATGCAGGTATGCATGCATGCATGTAAGTATGCAGGTAGTTTTGTATGTGTGTATCTACGTGTGCATGTGTGCATGCATGCTTGCTTTTATGTAGGTAAGTATGGCTGTATGTATGTAGCTATTTGCGTTTATGTATATATGCATAAATGCGTATTTATTTATGTACATATCTGTCTGCCTGTCCGTAGCAATTTGTGTATATGTATGCACGTATATATATATATGTATGTATGTAGGTAGGTAGGTAGGTAGGTATGTTTGTATGTATGTTTATACGCATACATGACTGTGAGAAAAGTGTGGGCTTGTTAGGTCAGGAGTATGGTTATGTATGTACATATCTACGTGTGTGTGTCCATGCATGCTTGCTTGTATGGCTGTATGCGTATGGCTGTATTTGCGTTTATGTATATATGCATAAACGCGTATTTATGTATGTACATATGCATGCATGTCTGTTTGTCTGTATGTATGTTGTGTGTATATGTATGCACGTCTATATGTATGTATATATATGTTTATGTAGGTAGGTAGGATGTTTGTATGTATTTTTATATGCATACATGACTGTGAAGAAAGTGTGGGCTTGTTGGGTCAAGAGTATGGTGAAAAATAGGGGCTTTGATTCAGCCCTTGTTAATGTCGCATTTAGAGGGCATGCAATAACGAACACACTATTCAGGAAAATTAGTTGTCCCTGTTGTTGGCGTTCATTTGGTTCGGTTTATACAAAGGGCAACCATTCAACAAAGAACTGTGTGGAATCAACCGCTGTGCGAACCCTCCAATAACACGCCAAGGAGCAACAGTATCGGCTTGATGGTATGACAGCGCTTGATTTAACATTGGAAGCTACATCACAATTCCTTCACAAATAGCAAGTTTATTCAGGCCGGAGTGAAGATTGAGATTCGAATCTTGGAAATAGGAAAATTCAATGCATGCATCAGATCTCTTCATTTCTTCGTAGAAAAAATATTTTCGTGTGACGGTGTGTGATGAGCAAAGTCGCAAGTCAATCTCATCGGAAGAAGGCGGCAAATTCCTGTCTGTCGACGATGGTTTGATTATTCTGGAATGTTTCTCAGTTTAATGCGAAAATCACTCAAAACTGGTATAGCACGACACCTGATTTTATTTCTGATTGTATGCCAGAGCTAAAAAACTTTAGGTGTATTCTCATTCGATATCGCAGGAACTGATAGCAGCTTTTCAACTCGTGATGAAATGATAATGAGGGTAACCAGTTGCGAAAGTATTTTTGGCTTAGATTTATTGTCTTTTCAGCGCCTCGGCAGGATTCGAACAATAGGCGCCGAAAAAATCATTTTTATCACCAAATGGATGATATGTTTTCGGTGAGATGACAAGCAAAAGCACCCTACGAGGGTGCTTAGAAGATGAAATAAACGTAGATAAAGCTTAATAATCTGTTAAAAGATTAATCTAAAACAATGTCCACTTCTTATATAAGTCCATTACACAATAAGTATAAACCAGTACAATTCTGCAACAAACACATTCTTGGTTCCTTCGATTCGTACAAAATGCATCACATTCAGGGTGACACAAGCCTCTCTCAACCTATTTCTTGCTTAGTGGATTTTGTTAGAAGGGCAACCGTCTATTTGCGAATAAACCCGTAATTATACTTAAGTATTTATGGTACTTCTTCCTTTGCGATATTGATAAATTTAATTTATTGCCAAGTGACAATGTTTCCTTGCACTGTTAAAGACTATGGCTCAAGGTAATGTATACAATAAGGATATAATTGCCCACAATGAAGAATATAGAAGGCCTTAAGATGCTACTAATTTTCAGCCAATTTTGCTTCCAAACTGTTTT